GGAAGGTAGAGAGGATTCGAGGACAATATCCTTTGTTTGTTAAGGATCGTCGTGGTCTCTTGTCGCAGTGTGGCCGGGTGTGGGTACCGGTAACCGGGGGAGTGAGACAGAAGATATTAGAGGAAGCGCATAAGTCCAAGTTCTCTATACATCCAGGAGCTACGAAAATGTATAGGGACTTGAGGCTGAGTTATTGGTGGCCATGCATGAAGCGGGACATTGGTTGGTTTGTAGAGCGGTGCTTGACTTGCAGGAAGATCAAGGCTGAGCATCAGCGACCTCATGGTAAGGTCCATCCGCTACCCATTACCATGTGGAAATGGTAGGAGATCATGATGGACTTCATTACGAAGTTGCCAAGGACGGCGAGGGGCGTGGATGCCATATGGGTGATTGTGGATAAACTGACGAAGAGTGCCCATTTCATTCCGATATCAGAAAGTATATCCGCAGAGAAGTTAGCGGATATTTACGTGCGTGAGGTGGTGGCTAGGCATGGGGTTCCTGTGTCGGTAGTCTCTGATCGTGATGTTCGGTTCACATCCAGGTTATGGAAGAAATTCCACGAGGAGTTGGACACTCAGCTTCATTTTAGCACGGCGTACCACCCCCAAACCGATGGTCAGAGTGAGAGAACGATCCAGACATTGGAGGATATGCTACGGGCATGCGTGTTGGATTTTGGAGGGAGTTGGGATACGTATCTCCCACTGGCAGAATTTTCGTACAATAACAGTTATCATGCCAGTATCGATCGAGCTCCGTTTGAGATGTTATATGGTCGGAGGTGTAGGACTCCGGTTTGTTGGGATGAGGTTGGGCACCGGGTCATGGGGAGCACTGAGGTAGTGCTCAAGACCACCGGATTGATTCAGCAGGTGCGCGACCGGTTGCGGGTCGCGCAGAATGATTTGTTAACTTGTTTGTCTCTTCCCCTCCGACCTTTCTCCTCATATCTACCAAATCAATGTGGGATTTTCCTACAACAACTCGAGTTGTCTTTTTTGCTTTCGACTACCACTTCCTCCATCGCCCAAAAAAAACACAGACCATTTAGGGCTCCTGGGAGTTTAATCGATTAATTCACAATCCAATTTAATGCAGATTCAAGTCTGTATAACTGTTAGCACATAAGTAAATGAAAGATTCCAGTTTCAGTTATCTAGCTTATTGTGATTTTGATTTTGGGTTATTGGTGTCGTTACGATGTGAGTTCAGATTCAAGCATGTATAATTGGTGTTAATTATTGTCGGAATCCCTGAGAGGATACGAAAATCCTGAGTTCTTCCACTTCCTTGAATGATAATTGAATAAGAACTACAACCTGAAATTTCAACACCTATAGGCGCTGAATCCACAGGATGTATGGTGAAGAAGAAGACGAAGGAAGAGAGAGAAAGAAAGTCAAAGAGAGAGAAGGGGAGGGTAGGGCCGGAGGGTGGGATAGCTTATTCTTTTTTTTAATTAAAAAAATATTAACATAAATATAAAATATAAAAAACATAAATAAAAGGGGTAAAACTGTCTTTTTAAGTTTTTTAGGACTAAAATCACATAAATTTCTTAATTTTGGATAGAAATACATAAAAAAATATTTTAAGATATCTATTTTTTTACTTTGTGTAACACCTGGTTTAATTTGGAAAGGTTTTATGCATGGACTCGGCGAGTTGGGAGACCAACTCGTCGAGTAGGGTCGTGGTATCATGGAACGCGGAACGGGACTGACTCGGCGAGTCGACGGGTTGACTCGACGAGTCCGAGCTGTTTAAAGAAAACCCTAAATTTGGGGTTTGCGCCCTATATAAACAACATTATACGCCTTTGTAGCCTCCCTTAGCATCATAAGAAAGTGTTTACGGCCGCAAACACTTGGATGTGTGAAGTAAGAGCTTTGGGAGCTTAAACCTTGGGATTGTGGAAGGAATTCCAAGTTTGAAGAAGATGTATCAAGAGGAAAACACTAGATCTAGCATCTAGTTCGTCTTGGGCATTAACTTAAGGTATGAATCTTTTACCTTAAGCTTAGATTCTATTTAAGGGTTATGACCAACTTTGAGGAAATGGAAGCAATCTTAGATCTGGACCTATCACAAGGATATGGTTCCAGATCTGGACCTTCATAGGTCCCAACTATCATAAAGTTGTACCTTTTATTAAGCCCATTCCCTCCCCATTCATGAAAACCTTGTTGAAGGTTAGTTTTGGTGATTATGGCCATGTGAGGCCTTGCATGCACGTAAAGTTTGCAACTTTACGTGTTATCCACACTAGGAGAGTATGGATCTGAAGTTTGAAACCTTAAATTCCCCTGGAAATAACTGAATACGTGAGAACTCGTCGAGCCTTTAACTCGGCGAGTCGAGAGGGTTTTCTCATTTACGGCCAAGGGTTCACGGCCAAGGGTTTACGGTCAAGGGTGTACGGTTGGTGGTGTACGGCCGTAAACATCAAGGAACTCGACGAGTCCCTCGGGTGACTCGGCGAGTCGATGAGTTAAGTAGGGAACCCGACAAGTGAACAATTGTACTCGACGAGTCAAGGTCAATATGGACTGTTGACCTTAACTATAGACTTTGACTTTGACCAGGGTTGACCCTGGGGGTATTTATGGGACTATGCTGAGTTAATTACTCATTGATTATAGGCAGTTGGGAAGAGCAGCATAGGACACACCTGAATTCAGTTGCCAATTCAGCCTTGTGAGGTGGGTTTTCTCACCATACCAATGGGTCTAAGGCACCAAGGCCGGCCCATTTGTGATAGTTGGTTTACTTGTTATGTAGAGGTGTGATATGTATGTGTGCATGATATGTGGTAGAGATAGCCTTCGTGGCTAACGGTAGAGATAGCCTTATGGCTAATGGTAGAGACAGCCTTTATGGCTGATGGTAGAGATAACATTTGTGGCTAACGGTAGAGATAACTTCATGGCTAATTGACATGTGATATGTGGTAGAGGTAGCTTTATAGCTAATGTGATATGTGGTTTGTGTGGAGTATGCTCTGGGGGACTCACTAAGCTTTCAACTTACCATTTGTGGATTTGTTTCAGGTACATCGGAGCCCAAGGGTAAAGGCAACGGGTGATGATGCGGCGTGCACTCTATCTCTCTTTTCCTATCTGGTTTGGGGGACACTCTGATGTTTTGAAAATAATAATGTTGTCATGTTGATGGTTTTGAAAACAATTATTGGAATCTTTATGTTTTATGAAAAATGGTTGACTAATCAAAAATGAAATTTTTTTTTTGTAAAATTTGGGATGTTACACTTTGTAGGGCTAAAAATCGTAATTTTCCATCCAACTACCCTCTCCAACCTTTTAAAAATTTCAAATCTTAAATTCGGTAATTTATACCTTTTAAAAATTCAGATAATGTCAACCATCCATAACTTATTAAGAAGATGTTTGGGATTACTTATTTAAAGCAACTTATGATTTTAGTAAAAGTGTTTATTAGCTTATCTGATGTTTAAATAGAGTTGGTTTTTAATGTTTGGTTTTGTTTATTCGGTAGCAAAACATAATAAAATAAACTGATAAGTTACTTTTTTATTATGCATGTAATTAAGGAATAACTTATCAAAAACTTATTAAATAAATCAATGAATAATGAGTAAATAATTTATCGAAAGCTTTTAATTTAAGTCGATAAATAGTTATGAAATCTTCTTATTCTAACACTTAAAATTCTTTAGGTAGCGTTTGGCACGTAGGACAGAACTGGACAGAACAGAACAAAATCATTTGACAAGGTGTTTGGCAAACATAGAACATGGACTCAGTGGAACAAAAACTAAATTCGATGGGACTAATTTTATAAACTTTAGTCCCACACGTGAAGGTGGAACTCACTAGAACAGATAAGTAACTGACGGAAATACCCTTCGTTTGTGCTTCTTTCTCTAATTCTCTCACTTGACAAATGAATACATCATACAAACTAACCCCCCATCCCACCTGCCTTCTTCCTTCTCTTCTCACCCAATCGACTTCTGTGATACGAGATGTTAAAATCCCCATCATTGGACTAGATTGGAGCTTTTCATAACATGAGATGAGCAACCATCTTCCGACGAAAACCGGCAAAATCGACACATGACGACAACTGTGGCATTGGAGCCAAAATACACCATAACTTCTTACCACCACCTGCAATTACTCAATACTATCGATTGGTATTGAACAAGAAACTATCCATGATCGTACTAAAAAAGCTTTACATTGTTGCAGTAGATTGGACCTGAACATGGCATTCTCTTATCTTGATTAGATAGCATCCGAGCATAGTGTTATTGAAGAATGATTGATGTCAAGGTTTTGAGAAATTGGGTTTTGTCATTTGGTCTGATGTTTTCGTGCATCCACTTGTACATTTTGAAGATGGTTGTACTATCACCGCCTCTTATTATTATATAATTGAAAAATTTAAACTACTAATTTGGTTGCCACTTTTGATTGAGCTTTATTTTTATTGTAATTTAATTTCGACGTAAGTTAGATTTTGAGAGAGGCGGTTAATTTATATTGTAATTTAATTTCCACGTAAATTAGATTTTGATAGTGGTGGTTAATTTGTATAAAGGACACTAAAGTAATTTTGAATATCTTGTTCCATTTGGTTCTATGTTCACCAAATGCTATATAAATAATTAAAATCGTACCGTCCAGTTCTGTCCGGTCCAGTTTAACCTTGTCCATGCACCAAACGCTACCTTATTATTGTTTACTACTGGCACTAAACCGCGATAAATTAGGAAACAGTTTAAATAAACAATCCCAATCGCCCTCTAAGTTTTTGATAGAAAAGCGGTATCGTTTTAATGGTTCCACATGTAAAAGCCTCATATTCATTTCTACATTCCGTCAGAGATGTTGCGCCAAGTCGCCAACAACTATTTTTAACTACCATCTAACCATTATGTAGATCCTTATCCATTTTGGAGGAAAATTGTATTTAATATCTATGAATATCATTATTATATAGTATTTGGTCTCTTTTTACAATCTATAATAAGAAACAAACCTACATGAATTTGGTGATTTACTTTTTGTGCACGATTGGACTGTTGATTTCGTGAAATCCAAACATCTTCTACACCTTTAGGAAAGTGTTGCTTGCACGATCCAAAGAGTTATTTGAGTCGATTTGATTATGAGTGACGTGTAGAGCCTGCCTTTTTCACATGAATTCCCCACCAACACATTTTATCAGTAAAAATGTCAAGTAAGAAGTTTGTTTGAAGCTGTGTTTATTATATGGGATCCAATGAGTTTAGTTATCTGTGTTGAGTGTAAAAATCCTCTCCCATTTTGTTATATGTTGTATGTATATGTGATGTATGATAATATAATAATAATAGGCACAACTGTACAATTTGAAGGGGAAATGCCAAAAAAAATTACTGCTAATGTGTTGAAGAAGAGAGTGCCAAACATGAATGGAAGGTCTTCTAGAAAAACTGGAAGAACAAGCTCGTTGAACCATCCCCAAATGATCGTATATCAGCTGGTCTTACCAGAGCTCTGCATAATGGGCAAGTTCTTTCTCTTTCAAACCTGATGATCATGATATTATTCAAGTGGTCAATAATAAGTCAACCATTAAAGCAACTTCAAATATAAGAATTTAAAAAAAATAATAAAAAATTACCATTCCGAAACACAGTCTTCACAAAATATATGTTTACAGCGCAACAAAATTGGAGCCTGCATCTTTTCCTGGCAAATAGCACACAGGTCTCCTGCCTCGCTTACCTGCTCCAGTAAAAACCAGTTAAAAGCAAATTACATATCACTATGAATGTTAGCTTAAACAGTGTTTGAATAGTAAATAATTACATAAGTAAAAAAAAAAAAAAAAAAAACTCCCTCATTATACCTGTTCAGCCGTTGCATATGATCCATAATTGACTTCCTTCCGCGATAGTGCCTTTAATGCAGCGTAGAAGGATCCAATCTGAGAAAATCACAAAAGAAAATAAAAATTAATAAATTAATTCACTGGACAAGACAAGACAAGACATAACAGACGACTCTATATTGTGATTGACATGCATTGGACTGAGAGAAAAACTGCAATTCTTTGTCCTACCCAAAAAGGTGGAACGAGATAGGACAGGGACTTGCACTCAGTCTCTCGTCTGTACAAAAGACATGAATGCCCTCATAAAAAAAAAAAAAAAAAAATCAGAAATATACCTTCTCAACAACTGATGTGAGCTTTAAAGTTAAATATAAGCCTGTTGTCAAAGATGAAAAGAGGCTCCCGTATTCTTTGTTCAAAAAGAATCGATACCAAACAGGGGCAGGTAAGAATGCACGGTATAACAGAAGTGTGTACTCAACCAGAGTCAGCATTTGACCCTGAAATACCAAAAACGCCCCCCCTCAGAACTTTCTCAAAAAATATTTTTGAAATTTAATTATTCTACAGTTTATTATATTATTATATACCTGCCTACGAAAGCTATGGCCCCTGCCATTCTTATAGTACATAAGCAATACCAACTTAAAACCCATTGCTGCCTGCCTTACCATCGTATCTGCAACACATAAAAATTTCAATCTTTTTCAACAATCCATCCAGTCATACCAGTAAATTTTTTTTTTTTTTTGGGGAATGACATTGCTATAAATTGGATAGATATTTCTTTCAGAGTACACTGTTGTAATTGTAATAGGAAGAAATGAAAACATGATGCTATTTGCTTGCAATTAATCCATGAACTCTACATGTATATATCTATGATAAAAAAAAGAATATGCTTAGTGCTTACCATTTACAATGATGGTGAAAATAGCATTCCAAAAAGGTGGTATTTCTTTTGGTGGAACCATGAAAAGGGGATAGCAAAGATCATCATTTTGGTACCACCAGTAAACACCAATCACATGAAGCATGAAAACTATGCAATACCCAGCAAGAACAGACAATTTTCTCTCCCCCTGCAAAAAAAAAAAAAAAAAAAAAAAAAAATGATATATGCAAATATTATTACCTTTAAGGCTAGAATACATGTCATGAAAGCAGTAGTTCAAAACCAGCGCTTTTTCATAATCTGGCTACATTTGAGTTAGATAAAAGTGAAGTAAATAAGTCAGTATTCATTATCATACAACTTTATTTGTAAAGAACAAATGTTGGTTTTTGTACCTTGTAAGTGCTGACGAATGAAAACGATCAACAACAGCAAAGAAAATGGAAGAATCTGTTCAATCCACCTTGAAACCTGCTGCAAATCATACCGCTGTTGATATGCTGAATCCACGTTATTATTACTCCCGCCATTACCACCACTTCCATCACCGGAATCAGCCACCTCCCTTTCTCCTCCGCCATCTTCATGGTTCACTGCAACCGGTTCACCACGCTCCTCTTCTTGGTCTGCACCACCCATTATCCGAATCGAAACCTCCCCATTGCTATTCTCATCATTACTACTTCTATTACTAGCAATACCGGAACCACTCGAGTTATGATCACGATGATGATGGTTAGAAATCAAGCTCTCTGATTCGTGATAATCGGTATTCGACCTAGGTCGAAGAACACCCGAGTATTCAATTATAGTAGTTACAGGTGCTTGTAAGAAACGAATTATCGGAAACGGAGAAGACGACATCGCTCTCGGTGAAGAACTGCTACTGCTTATCCTCCGCATCGTCGGTGATGTGGGGTTTGATGAATTCGGACTATTAGTCGCATGATTATCAGAACTCGTAGGATCAACGCTAAAACCTGTTGTTTCCATTAATCGACGCATACAAACCCTTCTCTGATTGTACCTCTAAACGCTCAATCCACAAATTCCCCAAAAAGAAAAATACTTACGATGATGTAGAAGAAAACAAAGAGAAAAACGTCAAATGGATTGGAGGTGACAAGGGTTAGATAGCGATCTTGACATGTATATACGAGAATTATGTTAATTTAACGAGTCAATAACCGGATAAATGGGGGAAATGGCTTCAAGAATCTCTCTAAACAAAATCAGAGTATCGAATTCTAGGGTTTTTTTTGTTATGTTTGGAATCGATATGAAAGCTCCAACTCGATTCAGGAATGAAACGAAACGAAATGGTGCATTTCAAAAGGACTGAATTTGCATTAAAAATGGAGTACGTGTGATCGCTGCAAATTTGGGGGAGATATTTCTTGGAAAGAACTTTTTCTTTTTAAGTAATAACAGATATTTAAAAAGAAAAAAAGAAAGAAAATTCAATCGCTCTCTAGAAATAGTGAAGTCGTCAGCTTGAAAACCAACGGAAAGAAACAGCAGAGTAGCAGACGCGTTTGGTGTCCCGGTTTACCAATATACCCTTATATACCATTATCCCTTTATGTTTAATCGATACTTGTTTGTATAAAAACTTAACATTTAATACTGATTAATAAATGAATAATTGATTTTTTAAACTATACGTCAACAATGACAAATATTTCATAATACTTTTGTGATGTTGATGACTAACCTTCTTTTTTTGTTTGAAGGTTATAACGAATAATTTAGTTTTTGTAATGAGCATGATATCTAGTATTTTTTTAATCCACTTATATTTAAAGTCAAAATGTCACGATTAGTCTATATATTTAAGAAAGATATAATGTTGATGATAACCGTTAGAAACGTTACATACTTGATCTTGTGGTTTCATTTTGTTGCATTGTTGGTTTTTCCGTTGCTATATCTGTAAATCTGAAAGTTTTAATAAACATCGTGGAGCACTTCTATAATTCAATATATATACACACACACGAACATCACCAACAAATCCTCCATTTCCACAACAACAAAGGATTAGGAGGAGTGACGGAACTACCGACGACAACCACCTTTACCTCCATATTGTTCCTATCATTCCACCCTTGTCTTTTGCCCCTTCTACTCTAACTTCTTCTCTAATTGGAACTCAACGATGAGTGCGTCTCCCTAATCTTCCATCTCAACCATCAGCGATCAACTTTCTTTAAAGATACATCCACCTTCTAACTCCAACTTTTCGATGGCATGTCCATCGTCAAAACCGTGTTGTATCTCCTTGTGTAACACCCATGTGCTACGATGAGGTGTAGGGTTTTTAAATTTTTTTGGGGTTTAGATTTAAGGTTTGCTCTAGTTTATCGGTTTTTATTTCGGTTTTGGATTTTTAAACCCTCAAATTTTTTATTTCATTTTGTTTGATGTAGATTTTGTCTCAAGTTATTGGGTATTTGTTATTTGAAATAATAATCATGGCCGGTGATAGGGGTGGGCAAGAAGGACTTGTGCACAGGGCCCAAATTTTCCAAGGGCCCAAATTTTTTGTTTTTATTATATTCAGTTAAACAAGTTCAGCCCAAAACAAAGATAGTCCGTTCCCACCAGTAAAGTAATCCACGCAAAGAAGAAAACATTGATTAAACGCAGCAAAAAAGATCGATCATTGACGCTTCTGCCTTCAACGACATAACCGACTAGCGAGGCTGAATCTATTATTCTGCTATTTTGCTAAGTGCTAATCAGGTAAGTAATTGATTAATCGATCAATGTCATTGAAATCTTCAACTCCTGTGTAACTGTGTTGGAACAATTTGTAATTGAATGTCTATGTCATTAATTGATTAATTGATAATGCCATTAATTAATCAGTTTGTAATATGTTACGAATGTATATGTCATTAATTGATTAACCGATCAATTATCAGTAATTGATCAGTTTGTACTCCATTGAAACTTAGACAATATGATAAAAAATATTTTATATACAATGGGTGATTGTAATTGAATGTCTAATCGTCTATTATCATTTATCAATTTGTAGTTTGTAATTGAATGTTGATTACCAATTTGTTATCAAGAATGCTCGGAGAGCTTCACGGATAGTCGGTTAGCTGTTAAAAAAAATAGTTTATATAATTTAATTCGTTACAGGTTAAGACCTAAGGGCCTTTTTTTTCCTAGTTGTCCTGGGCATTTGAATCATCGAGACCGGCCCTGATAATAATAATTAAAAAAACAAAAGATTGAAACCGAGCGGGTCAATCTCATTTTTTTCCTGTTTTGAAATCAACATTGAAGCTTATGATCAAGAATGTGATGTAAGGTCGTCGTGTATACCTATCACGAAGACAATCGTGATCTACGTGGCCACGAGAATTGTTGAACTGGGCGTGCACACTATCCCAACCATTCGTGGTCGGGCGTGGTTGGGCTCCTTCGTGTTGCCGACGACGAACGTAAACGATGAATGGGATTGATTAACCGTTCCATAGTCATATTTTGAAATAAATATATATTTTTTAATATAAAAACATTACATATATAAACACAACAATTTTAACAACCTATGCACTCAAAGCATTATCTATCACTCTCTATCTATAAAACAAATATACATGGATTTCTTTAAGAATTTTGATTCGTATGATGATGGAGAGTTCATCTTGACCTTCTTCAACGTTGTCCAACATATTCACGATGAAGAAAGTTTGAATGTTGCGCGTTCAAGAGATTTCGAATAGATGGTGGGTTAAGGTGAAAGTGATGTCAAATAACTTAGATGAAAGGTGATGTAAAGATTTCAAGTAGATGATGTAGGTAGTTGAAACAAAAATTTTTGATTGTTTTTGTTTGTAAGTTTGATATTATTTTGTTGTAACCATTGAACCCGGATGGTGCTTTGATTTTTTTTTTTTTTTTTTTTTTTTTTTTTTTTTTGTAATTAACAACTTTGATTTTATGTAATAAAAAACCACGAGGACAACATCTAGTTGGCAGTGATGGAAGATAAGGAAGACGGTGAGAGCAATTTTGGTAGTGACATGAGAGATGTGGAGTGGCCGCCAAAGATGGTATGAGTGGCAGTGAGTGGTGGTTTGTCTGAAGTGATGCGATGGTTGATGATAGATGGTGGAAGATAATGTCGGGAGACAAACTTAGTAATAAGAAAATAAAAATAAAAATAAAAATAAAAGTAAAAAATTGTAAAGATGTGCCAAAAGGACCAACCATGAAATACTTTGAAACCATAAGAACAACCGATCGATGTCCTCAACATGATACATTTTGCAAACCATATAGACCAATCGCAAAATTCTATCATTTATAAATAAAGCTTAAACCATGTTTACCTCTAACTTATATTAACCTAACAAATTTAGGTTTTTGTGTTTAATAGGTTTTCTATTACATAGAGAATCATCGTTACCTCAAAATATATACAATAAGTGTTTTATAGTATCAAATTAGAATTGTATTTTTCAAACTACAAAAGAATCTAAATGTGTGCAAGAAGAAGTATTGAAGTAGACATGTGTCTTTTGAATCGTTCAAAATATTGTTGTGAAGATTTTCCAAAATAAAGAGGTCAAAGGTGAGTAGGTGACTCTTTTAATGAACTAAAGTGCCAAAATGAAATTCAGCAACAATTAAGGGTTAAAGTTGTATATTCCATATAGTACGAGGCCTTTGCATGTATTATGTTTTTGACCTTGACGCCACCGACAAACGGCGGACTTTTATGATATTCCACAAACTCTTGGGATGCAAGTTTTGACCCCCCTTTATTTCTATTATTTTTTCCTTTAATAACCGTGAACACATATTTCTTACAAACAAGTCATTTGTTGGGAATCTGTTATAGTTCCATGTGGAGTATTTGGAAAGAAATTAGTTAATGAACGATTTAATCTTCAAAAAGAACTGGCTATCACCATCAAAATTGCTGATATAATTAAATCGGTGGTGTTCTTGTGGGTAAAAAACAGAAACAATAGAGGAGATCTGTTAATAAGGAGAATGGTCACGATGCCTTTTCTTTGTGTATGATCTATTTTTTGTTTCCACTCTTTTTGTTTTTTTTCTTCTTTGTATCTCTTCACTGTGGAGTACCGAACTATCCTTCGCTACCGCCTTATGATTCCCTTATTCCCAATTGACGAGATATGCCCAGTTTGCTGCAAGGCATGTTTGGATACCTTTGGGGAACACGCGGTTCATTGTAGAGAGCTCCCTGATTTCAAGTACAGACATGATGTGGTTCGGGATGTTCTCTTTGATGCTTGTCGGCGTGCTGATATTTCTATGAAGAAAGAAGCGTCAGTGAACTTTTTGACGGGCCCGCAGGATGGAAGGTACACACTTAGACCGGCTGACATTTTGGTCTTTGGATGGATAGGAGGGAAGCATGCGTGCGTCGATCTTACTGGGTCTCCCCTCTCGTTGGTTTGGGGAGCGAGGGTTTCACAGCAGGGCATGCCGCTTTGAAAGCCGTTGCGTGCAAAGTGGTAAAGCACGAGAATGCATGTATAGAAAATCAACATGTGTTTGTACCTTTTGCATTCGATACATTTGGTTTTCTCGCACCAGAGGCCGTGGAGCTTCTCAATAGAGTCCAACGGGTCATGCATTCTAATGTCGTATCTCATAGATCCACAAATGTTGTTTTCAAAAGAATTGGTTTTGCCATCCAGAAAGGGCTAGCGGCGCAGCTTGTTGCCCGTTTGCCTTCAATCGATATATATTGAACTTGATCATCGGGTTACTTTGGCTAAAAAAACTCAAATAAAATTATTTGACCCTCTAATTTTATATATAATATATTGACCGGTGCAAAAAAAAAAACAAATCATTTGCTTAAACAATTATATTTCTTAATTCTTCTTTTCTACCAGTAAATCATATTTTAAATTAAGGTGATTATTAAACTCAGAGAAATCGTAACTAATGTTTTAAGTTCAAGTTTATTCTTTATTATGTATTAAAAATATTACAATTTGTATTTTGATGTTGCCGGTTCCAAAAAAAAAAAAGAGGTCATTTACTTAAACAATTATATTTCTTAACTCTTCTTTTCTACCACTAAATCATATTTTAAATTAAGTTTTTCATGCGCATAAGTGGATTATTGAACTCGAAGAAATCGTAACTAATGTTTTAAGTTCAAGTTTATTCATTATTTTTTATTTAAAATATTACAATTTGTATTTTTCATGTTGATCATGATACTAAGTAATAAAGATGGTGAGATCTACACTTGTTTTTTTAATCTTTTTTTTTTTTTACTTTTTTAATAATAAAGTGGGTGATAAAGTTCTACTTGATTATGATATTTGGTGTGCATTTTACTACATTGCAACAAATACTTATTATGAGAAAAAAAAAATCGTCTTTAAGTTTGATTGAAAAGATGGCTTAATTAATTGCAATTATGTTTGACGCTTTGCCATCATATTAAGATTCATCATTTCTTCTTTAAACATAGAATGTTTAAGACTTCAACAAATAATCACTTATAATTTTGGAAACCTATTTTCTCTATTTATTTATAAAAGCATTTTTGTAGTAAATTACAAGAATTTCCATGTTTATAGTTGTCGACGTATTTGATCTCTAATTTTTTTCTAACACTTATCATGCTTATTTTTTTTTTTCTTATGATTTTCGACCCTCCCATTGTGGAGATTACTAGCATCAAGTACATAACGCATAGGTATCGGAAAAATCAAAACCTGATGTATCTAAGTGCACATGCAACCTAGAATTTATGTTTTACTATTATAGCAACGTACTTTTAAAAACAACAAAAAAAATATTACTAACCTCACATTCACTTGTTTGTGATCTCGTGCGTGCCAGTTTGTTGCAATATGAAGGATCAAAAAGAGAACCCCTCTAATGGAACCAAGTCCACACACCAAATAAGAAGAAGAACCCACAAATTAGGGTTTATTCGAAAACACAAGAACCCTAAAAGAAGGGATGAGATTTCGGATTTAGAGATAGAAAGATATAGTATGGACGATTTTGAGAGATATGAATAATTGGCTATAGGGTTTACCCTACCAGTCTATTTATAGGTAGCTGTTAGAATCTCATATGGATATAAACTTTAGGGTTTATCCTTATGTGATTCAAATTTGCTTTATCCCTATCCAAAGGACCTAGAAACCATCCACCTCTATGCATTCAGAGGTTTTGGAATATTCCAATGAATCCTTATGATAAATTAATATTCAACATCTTTAATTAATTAAATCATTCTAATTAATTACCAAAATAATTTCTAATTAATTTATTAATTCCTCAATAAATTAGCACATTATTAATCTCCATTTTCTTATGCTATTTGGATCATGAGACCAACTCAAAAAGACTTTGCTATTATTAAAAATATTATCAAAACAGTTAATGACCATGGACACCATTTCCAACACCCATATGTATAATGATTGTTATGTCTTTCTAAGTTTTAAAGCTTTTTTTACTTGTTTTGAACTTATACTGATATTAATTAATAGACAAAACTGCAAATTTGGTCTTTGTGGTTTGCAAAAATCTTTGGATGGGGTCCAAAAAGTTTCCAGCTTGCACAGAAGGTCCGAAATCAAGGTTTTTCTAGGTTTTTGGTCCTAAACTTAAGAAATTTTTGTAGTTTTGGTCCATGGAGCACTTGAATTGACTATTTTGCCCTTTAAATTTCTTTTTTGTATTTTTTATATTTTTATTTTATAAATATTAATGCATAAAAGCAATTATATATATATATATATATATCTCTCTCTACCAAACCCACCGGAGCCCTCCCCCTTCTCTCTCTTCTTCCTCCCCCCTCCTTCGAAGTCCTCCTTTCTCTCTCTCGTTTCTGCCCTGCTCACTGGAAAACACAGCAGCAACCAGAGTTGCTGCCTCCCCCAACACCACCTTACCCGTCACCACCCTACCACTATTCCACCTCTGTCCCTTCCTGTTTCGGTGACCAAGCCTCAACTCAAACACCTGCATATTCCCTTCCAAATCAGTCAAGAACAAAACAAGAACACAAGAGAAAAACAACACAATAGCAACCGGAGTTGCTACTGCCTCCCACGACACCACCACAGAAAAAAAAAAAAAAAAAAAAAGAACAGGGGAGGCTGTCGGAGCAGCCCCAATCACGCACCTGTCAACTACCGATCGCCTCATCGCAGCACCCACTGAGACCGACGATCACCCCTCACACCCTCCTCTTCCCTTCCGTCGAGCAAACCCACCGAGGACCCTGACTTCTTCGTTGCTGCTGCTCGCGACACTCCACCATTTTCTTCATCCCTTCGACTTCGTCAAACCACAGAGACGACCTCCCTCGTCGTCGATCGAACCTTTCCTGCTTCGCACATCACCATTGGAGCAGGAAGAAGCTTCACTGCTTTTTCCCTTTTTCCCTTCATTCCTTCGATCTAGCCAAACCCCAAAGGTCCTCCCCTTTTCCTTCGTCGCTTCGTTCTCGTCGACCACCGAAACTCCGTCCTACTGCCCGCAATTGATTGGCATCCATCGGACTAGCAACGAGAGAGAGAGGGGGGGGGGGTACCGGTAGGGGTGGAGTGGGGGTCATCTTCTTGGTTTTTTATTTTTATATCATAAAGTATTAATATAGAAAAGAAAAGAAAATACAAAACTGAAATTAAAAGGGTAAATAGGTAATTTCAATCTTTTTTGGACCAAAAACCTAGAAAAACCTTGATTTCGAACCTTCTGTGGAAGCTGGAAACTTTTTGGACCCCATCCAAAGATTTTTGCCAACCACAAGGACCAAATTTACAGTTTTGTCTCTATGTCTCACATTTCTCTCAAGTTGTGTCACCGGAAAATGAAATAAATCACCCTTTCCGCCTACATTGTAGTAACAGAAAGATGATTAATTAGACCAACCCATGCCACACATATCGCATCAAAACTACAACCACCACCTCACACCCACCCCTTTATATGTTCCTTCCATCTCTCCTTGTCGCCACTCTATTCCCCATCTCTCTACTCTACACATAAGCTTAAACCTCTTACAACTTTGGATAACTCACATGTTAGGTTGTCAAACCTAAAAATAAATAGGAGATAAAAAAAAATCACTACTAGTTGCAGCAAGTGATAGTATACTGAAAACATGAGTAATAATTCACATAGATCAATTGTCAAACACCTATTTGCATAAGGTATCAATACTTGACATGAAACAAACAATAAAAATAAGGGAAGGGGGTGTTAAAAAAATCATCATGCAATAAAATAAACGAAGACTATGTTTTGAAGAAGTCAAATTTTGAGATAATCATCTGTTCTATTAAACCATATACAGATTGATTATGAATTGATGTTGAGATAGTTTTTACTCTTAGTTGGTACTAGAAACATTAAAAAGCACCAACATTACTTTTATTTGTCAAATTATCTAGTCATGGTATGCTTTTCAACTAGACCCCGTTTTACTAACTCTGATCGAAACAAACTCTTAACCTAGATTGAAAAGTTGCATTAGATTCATTACAAGTATTCCTAGTAATTTTTAATACTTGTAATAAGCCTAAAAGCACCAAAATATATGATTTTATGTTTACAACGAACAAAATCCAAATTAAGAACCAATTCGATGTTTTGTTAGCTTGTTACTTGTGTTTATTCATAAAAAATAGGGATTCTATAAATCAACTAACTTTACTATAAATCAAACCAATTCAAGTTGTTATTCATCAACTAACTTTGGCTAAATTAGACATGCTTGGACAAAAAGTTGCATTTTTTTGGCAATGTCATCTTAAATACGGGACCCAAACACTCTACTAGATCACAGAATGAAGAGATGAGACTAACTTATAACAAACAAAAATCCAAAGATTTACCGAAAACAAATTCTTGACATATCGAACAATCAAAAGTAAATGAAAGACGCCTTCTGTTGGCGTGTACATTACTACAGATGATGAACATGAAAAATAAGCACGAATATGATATGACAGGAAAGTATAGAGGAATTTAGGTAATTACCCTCTCCCTGATTTATCCTTTGGTTGCCATATGTCACGCACTGCTTCAATGGGAGACTTGCATCATAAATGGAAAATATGATAAAACATCTCTTTTGTTTCTTTTTCAAACTTATTTCAAAACTAGGTCTATAGTATATCTTCATGAATGTAGAATTATATATGTCATTTATGATTAGGACAAATTAATCGCATTGACCACAGGTTTACTTGCAATGTACCTGCATTGCTTTGTTTATTGTAGCATCCTACACTTCCTAAGTCCTTGTTAGAAAGAATCTGGATCTTTCAAAGTGTAATGCTACAATCGAAGAGAGGGTATATTTTCAACCTTATTAGTACACCCTTTACATTATAAAAAAAAACATCTTCTCATTGCCACCTCCATGATGGCATGATCCGTATCAGTATCACCCAATTTAACATAAGAAAACAATACAACCTGTAACCTAATTTGTTAAAATTAATTAGGTATAAACTACTCAAAAGAGCTCACTTCATTGATATCATCAGAATTACATAAGTAAAACTTCTTAATACCATCAGATAATCAGATATTACTGATGATAAGAACTTCTTCTACTATTTAGACTGGAATTACTAGCAACATAAGTTCAGAAATTACATCAATTACTAAAATCAAACTGTTTCTACTATTTAAACTGAAACTACTGACTACATAAGTGCATAAACTACATCAATTACTGAAATAGAAAGTAAGAAGTGGCTACCTAAGTGCTAGTAGCGGCTCCAGCGGGGTGATCATCGTTATCAACGTTTAAAAGATAACCTCCTGGTCGCATACAACCGTTTCCCACAAATTTCTTATTCTTGTAGATCATGGCTTTCTCCGACTCAAAGCTAACTGCAAACCCTTCCTCGACGAATCGTCCAACCGATACGAAGCAGTTGATAAACGAAGGAATGTGAACAACGTCCTTGAGGGTTACCGTTTGGCCGGAGGTGAACCTCAGTGTCACCGATCCAATTCCAGATACATTAACTTTGCTATTATCTAACTGTGACACATGCTTTCCGGTGACCGGACGATAGTCAACGAACTTATCTCTAGAGTTGCATACATGCACTGAAGCACCAGTGGAGAAAACCCATCCTTGGGTAATTGGTTCTCCTACCAGCTGAGCGTATGATACGAAACCAATCTCTTCTGATGACTTTTTGGCCATTTTTCGAGATGAAGAAGCGAAAGGAAGGTGAATAACCGGAAACCAAAGCAACGGCGCTGCAAACAAGGGATTATTTTATTAGGTTTTAGAATAGAAAGTTTCTTTTGGACTGGCTAGACCCCTTTATTTATACTGCCAACTCTTGTAACCCCACTTGTAGGCCCGGCCCACAAGCGATAAAAATAAATTTTAGAACTTAGAAGTTAGAACCACTAATTTGGTTGGTGATTTGGAAACGAAACGGTCGCCGCATTTTCTGTGATTATAACGCTTATTTTTTAATAATTGATGAGGTTGTTTTTAACGCTTACAAAATCGGAGTTTTTATCCGGTGATAGAAAAAAATAAATAGTAGTATTATTCCAAATTTAAAAATAATATTATTGTTGGCCCTGCCCCTAGAACAAACATCGAACAGGAAAAAATAAATTAAAACGAAAACAAGGACTCCATTCGTAGTTCCTCAGTCTAAGGCTTCCTCCGCCATCGCCAGCCACCTGCGGCCTCCTCGACCCGTCGCCGACCACCTACCGCCTCCCTAACCTGTCGCCGTCGCCGGTTTCAAGGTATCACCCTCCTCGTGCTCGTTTTTTTTCTGTTTAATTCGCTCCATTCTGATTCTTTCTTGATTCTGATCCCTCTCCACCGAATTTATGATCAATTTTTACTTATGTTTGATTTTTTTGTAGATGGATTTTATCACAGCTTGTTTTTTTTTTATGTTTTTAAGATGGAATTGATTGCAATTTTTGCTTCTTTCTTGGGTTGGAAAGCAAAAAACAATTGAACTGTGTGTTTGGAAACTGGGACGAGTCTTATGTCGCTTTATCAAAATATTTAGGTGCACTTCAAAAGTTCATTCTAGAAACTATAGTTGAATGGTGTGTTTCAAGATCAACTGATGTGGATGAAGTTGAATTTAGGCGTGTTTTTTTTGGGCTTTCGCTCACTCTATCAAAGGGTTTCACTATTGTCGACCGGTGATTAGCATTGATGGCACACACTTGTATGGTAAGTACACGGGTAAGATGTCGATTGCAATGAGAGTTGATGGTAATAATCAGATTCTACCACTTGCATTTGCTATTGTAGAAAATGAATCTTATGATACTTGGAATTGGTTTCTTTCTCATGTCAAGAATCATGTGGTGAAAGACCGTGAAGGCATATGTCTAATATCTGATCGTCATGGTGGAATCCTTAAGGTTGTCAATGAGCATGGATCTTCATGGCTAGAGTCATGTGGTTTTCATAGGTATTGTTATATTTCTTAAGTATTCTTTATGACATTTCAACAACTTGCTTCATTAACTTACATTTTTTTAGAGGTATTGTTTATGACATTTCATCAACAACTTTTATGACAAGTTTCGTAGTTCATAATTGAAAGCTTTAGTTTATCATGTCGGGAGTCAAAATCAAATTCGAAAGGTCAACTCCATGGAAGAAATTGGAAAGCTAAATCCACATGCTCGACATTGGTTGGAGAGTCATCCACTTAATAGATGGACACTTGCACATAATGGTGGAAGAAGATATGGTTTACTCACAACAGATTTGTCAGAGATTTTCAACAGTGTACTTAAAGGTACTTGGTTTTTACTAATCACAACTTGTGTGCAACTTACATTTTGTAGAATGGTGCATTATTTTGAGACGAGACATCCTTTAGAATCTAGTTCTCAAGCTAATGGAGATGCACATACTCCACATGTTGTTACAAAACAAGTAGCTTTGATGGCTAAAGCAAGTGCACATTCCTTAAGATATTTTAACCGAGAAAAATGTATATTTGAGTTGATAATTCAGAGAAGTCGAAATGTGCAAGTAGCTAATTTGGAACAAAAAACTTGCACATGTGGTAAGTGGGATGCATTTAATTATCCTTGTTCTTATGTATTGAATGCATGTACCAAACTCTCTTTGAATAGTTGGCAATACGTTGGCAAATGCTATTCGGTTGTATATTATTGTGCTACTTGGGCATCTGAGTTCTCCCCGCTTCCTCATGAAGCGTATTGGTCACAATCATCATTTAATGCATTACTTCAAAATTTAGAACTATTATGGGATAAAAAGGTTGTCCTCGTTCAACAAGACTAAAAAATGGTATGGATATTAAAGAATGAAGAAATGTCGCAATTTGTGGAATATGTAGGCAACCGGGTCATAATTGAAAACAATGTCCGTCTAAGCCAATGTAATTAATAAGATAATATTTTTATGGTATTGTTTTGGTTATTCTCTTATTTATTTATTTTTATTCTTTTTTTACAGGTAATGATTTGTTAGCAGTTCAAGTTCAAGCTAATTGTGATGTTTTTTTTTAGAGCTAATTGTAATGTTGGAGTTTTTGCACCATAAAATATATTGTATGTTTAAATTATGATGGCTAAAAAATTATATGTATAAAAAACAAATATTTAAAATAAAAAAAAACAAACAGAAATTAAAAATACAAATAAAAACTGTTATTTAAAAAAAGCAGTAAAAATTTGAAAAAAAAATTGTTATTTAAAAAAAACAGTAAAAATGTAAAATAAAAGAGAAATGGAGAAAAGTTGGATATTTAAAATAAAAAAACATTAAGAAAAACTGAAAAGTAAAGAAAAATGAAAAGAAATATTAATATGGTAATATTTTGAAAGTAAGAAAAAGTTTTTTCAATCACACTCTTATGGACATGAACTTTACAAAATCGTAGGTATTTTCGACCCCCGGTCTGATTTTTGTTGGAAAAAAAATGAAATAAAATAGAACGGTAGGCTTCATAATAGCATTGGATTGATTTTTGTTCTAAAAAACCAAAAAAATAAAAAATAAGAAGAAACCGTTGGTTTTTGGAACCAAATAATAGTCAAACAACATTAGATAGTAGTCAAACTTACATTAAATAATAGGCAAAAAAAAAACATAGGTTTTTGATACAAAACAATAGGTATCTCCAAAACTACTCTTTAAGAAATAATAGGTTTTAGAATACCTACGATTTTGTTATAAAAAATGAAAAATAAAAAATTTATACAAAGAAACAAAACCACTGTGAACCTTGGGTTGACCGTAGGCTTTCCTAATACCTACATTTTTCATGGCTAATTTGGGCTATATCCTAATTTTTGGCTAAAAAGTAAAATAATTAATGAATTTGGATATATTTGTTATTTCCTCTTTTTAATAATCCAATGATTTGTAAACCTAAGTTGACTATTATGCCATCATTTACATTTAGAATGCAATTTAAATTTCATCTTATGCACAGACTCATTATTAATACTTAACTTTTGTTTTTAATTTGTGTTCAGACATCGTTTTAATACTTTGCTTTTAGGATGTTTTAATTTTGTGAAGTGATTTGTAGACAACAGTTTTTTGTCATACACAACAATTTATGCATTATAGTTGTACAGTACAACATTTTAAAGCATCAATTGTTGTGTATGGAGAAAAATTGTTGTGTACAAATCATCTCTTTTTTAATTTTTAGTCCACTGAATTTTAATCGTGCAAGAGTAGTATTTTTGTTCATCCCTCATTATGATACTTCGTTTTATTGTTATTTTTGTCACAATAAGGTTTAGAAATATTAACAATTATAGTTTTTTAAAACTACAAAATGTAACACCCGTTTCCAGATATTTACACTTTTGACCTAAAAATGAAATTGTTTTACAAATCTAGTCCTTACGTTGGGCGTAAAGCCATAAGCGGATCGCGACAGTGGTGGAGTACGTTGGGCATACACGTGAGTACAGTCGGGCGTACTCGTGCTACCCCTAAACCCTAAATTTTTAGGATTGTGTCCCCTATTTGAACATCTTATTCCCCCTTGAACCTTTCTTATGACCAGCCTCCATTCCTCTAAACCATAAAACCGAAACCCTAGACCTTGAGAGTGAGTTTTGAATCCTTTGAGTGGTCTTTGAGTGTTTTTGGTGGTGAAGGAAGATCATTAAAGAAGTGGTGGTGCACTCAACCTCTTGGATCCAAAATCTACACCTCATTGTTCATCTCCCATAGGAATAAAGTTCATATCTTGGGACTTACCTTGCTATATCTTATTTAAGCATAAGTTTGTGTTCATTTTGTCCCAAAACCTTGATCTTTGTGAGTATGGACTACTCTATAGCATTTGAGTTGTCCTTTCAGACGTTTTAGGGTGCATAGTGTCATAAAAATGCAAGCTTGGTCCTTTCCTTTCATCCATGCATGAGTTATGGAGTTTTTGGTGATGTTAGAAGCTATGGTTTTGGGATTAAGCTCTCTTTAGCAATGCAAAGGCATAAAGTCAAAGACTTTATGGATTAGGATATCTTTTAGGGCCAGATATGAGGTTGGGGTAAAGTGTCTCAATGATTAAGACCTTAAGATTTTGAGTTAAGACCGTGTACGCCGAGCGTAAAACTGGCTACGTCCAGCGTAGCTGGTTGCGAACTCGTTTTCTTCTAGCCTTGTGCTCTACGCCTAGCGTAGAGCTAAGTACGCTGCGCGTAAAAGTCAAATACGGATTGGTGTGGAAGGTTGTATTAGGCCCATACTACTGAAAGCATCGGATCTGTACACGACTTAAGGAGGAATCTTAAGGCATTAGGGAACTTGAAGGAGTGTGTAAGTGTTTGTGAATGCACTATAGCCCGATTCTGATCATTTTTCTTGTGTGTTTCAGTATGGTGGTTACCCGAGGTTCAGGCTCCAGCGACCTCGAGAGGCCGAGTGCAAGTGATGATGAGATCTGTAGGATCGTTGTTGCTAAGGTGGCCGCGGTGATCAGAGAGGCCATACCAGAGATGTCCAGATCTATTAAGACCATGCTAATCGAGATTTTTGATGAGCGCTATGCTACCGTCGCTGAGGTTGCTGCTATCGCGACCACTGCAGTCGTTACTGTTGCGAGACCATAGGTGGGTGATTCCTTGTGATACTGGGAGTTACACAACACGAAGCCACTATAGTTTAACGGGACCAAGGACCCGATTGATGCGATGGGATGGATTTCTGATGTT